TCAATTCCGAGTCAGATGTATATCCGCGCTCGAGAGACGTAGTTACATCGTCTTCGCTACTCAACGCACCATCTGATGTGACGTTTCCATTGGGCGGGATTGCTAACTGCATTCCAACTTCAAAATTAGGCGGAACAGCTCCAGCACCGACACATTCCAACAAATTAAAAATAATCTGCCAGTCTTGCTCTGAATGGATGTTTTGGGCAGAGGTTTTAAGCAGCTCGTAGATGCCAATGGAAATTTGCTTCGAAATCCGCAATAGCAGTGCCGGCTGCAGTGATAACAGCTTCTTGAGCGACTGCAGGACAACGGGGCACAGCTCCTCATTGCGCATCAAATAGATGGCCAGCTTCAGCACAGCCACAATGCAGCGATTAAGTAAATAATCATAGCCGTTCTGAGCACTGGCATGCAGCAAAAGAAACATTTGATCACGCACAGCTGGCCACAGGGGAATCATGCGATCCCGATTATGAACCACAATTTTGACAAGAAACTCCATCCAAAATACGGTTATATCTTCTGCATAGCCCTGAGCAGAGGATTTAGGTGTTTCTGGTACCTTCAATAGAGACAGTACGCATCTAAGAAGCTCCTTTAACGACTCCAGCTGGACAAACTTTGACTCTTGCAGCATTTGCTCTAGCTGACACTCCTTAATACATTTCCGGCCATGTTTGATAAAGTCCTGCTCTTCATAGGTGGGCTCACGCTGGCCTTCAGAGCTGATAAAAGAGTAGAGGCTGGAGAACAGACCCGACTCCTGCTTTTCCCGGGGTTTCTCCAATATCAATATAGCCTTACCATTAGGCTCGCAGAAATCCTCTACCTCGATAAGTGTTTTGGGTAGAAGTTTTAGACGAAACAGTTGAAGAAACAGATCCAAAATGTGCTTCCAGCTGTCGCGCAGACTGTCACCATAGCCGTGCACTAGGAGAAACACGGTTCGCATTGCCGCTTGCGCCTTGGCATTCAGACCAAAATTAACTGCCAGTTGGATTTCATTGTTGGCTGGCACTGGCTCATGCTGCTCTACGCTGCTCAACAAAGTTGTAAATTTGCACAGGGTCAGTATAAGCGCATCAAAGTCCGCATGTAGATTATAATGGGCCGATATAGCTGCCGATTTACTAAATCCTGCAAAAAGAACGTTTTAAAACATTTCAGTGAATTGTGCCCTTTTTGCCGGGTATTTCTTACCTGCTAGTGTTCGCTGATAACCCGTCTCGGTGCTCTTGTCAAACATAAAGCTCAGTGCACTTAGTGAGGCGCCCCATACAATATTGAAGATTTGTACATCGTAGGCAGCATCGTTTACGTAGTGAAAGTAACCGTCGTGGGTAGCGCCACGACGCAACAGCATCTTCCACAAATAATTTTCTCGGACGAGACCAGTCTGCTCGGCGGGCATAACAATCTCTTCGTTCCTGCAGTAATAAATAATATATAGAATAATATTCAAATTATCAATTGAACTTCTGCTCACTTGATGGCATTAAAGATTTGCGCTAGCATCTCCTGATCAAAATCCTCTCCGCCATTTAAGCCTCGTAAATTCTTTGTAAAGTCCTCTAGGGTCATAGGTACATTAAGACGCTTAGCATTAGAATTATGCTGATCCATGTTTAGCATGATGATGGCATACGCCAAGCGGAAGGCGGCATCTGTATTGGCAAACGGCTCCTTGTTTTGATTCTGTAAACCAAGTCACAGTTCATAAAAGTTGTTGAAAAGTCGACACATAATCAAACTTAGAAAATGTTATAGTTTTATCATGAAATGTATTTGTGCGTCTCTCCAAACATTGCTATGGTCAAGTGATTTAAAAACCTGGAACCACTTGTTGTGTGTTCGTCCAATTATAAAAAAATAAGTGCATAAATTAAAAATTGACTTAAAACGTATACTTACATGCCAATGATCTGAGAAGTGCTCCAAGACGAGGAATATCAATGGAGCCTCACCGGGTAAACGGAAAGTTTCCAAGTAGAGACGTAGCGCTTGATCAACGCGAAGTCCAGTAAAATCAAACGAGTCCACAAAATTGATAAGAATTTTAGAGTCCACGTTCTTCTTTTTGGAGATGTATTCACCAATCATTTTCTTGTCGAGCCCTGGATTCTCGCGCAGGAAAAGTGCTACTTGCATGGGATCAAGCTTAGCATTTAGAATGCCATGCTCTTGCAGGTACTGAATGCCTTTGTCCGGTCGCTGATTAAACCACTCCGTTCCCTTGGACAATAGACGCTTCTTTTCCTTAACGCTGGCCAGCTGTTCACTAGTAATATTGCCACCCTCGCCTCCTGACTGTAGTCGTAAACGGTGTGAGCTATTGTTGATAAAGCTCGAGATGTTTTCTACATACTCCTCTCCATTGTCAATTACAATACCCTCAAGACCGCTGTTATGACGCGAATGACGACTCCCAACAACACCTGTCGTAGGAGTTTGCACTAGCGCGTTGTTAGCGCTGTTGTTGCTTTTCGCGGCAGCACAATTATATTCGATGCAATCGATGACACTGATCAGGGTATCCATGGAGATGATGTGCGTGCTGTAGACTGCATTAGTTGCTGAGAGCGTGTACTTGCTCAGCATATTAGTAAGACTCTCGAACATGTCCGTACAGTACAGATCGCAGTCGTAATTGATGTAGAGTTCGGTGACAAAGCCGGGAATACGCCACAGTTGTAGCAGATTGTCCAGCGCCAGTTCGCGCATCTCGTAGGGAGTTTTCGGATTATCACTCGCTATAATTTCGCTTAATTTCTTAAGATAGCACTCTAGCTGAAACTTTAGGTGTCCGCGCAGCGATTCAAAAAGCAAAAAGCAAAGTTGCAAATCAGCAGCAAAGATGCTGAGGCGCTCTGAGCTTAGGAGCTATTGAAGAGAAAAGATATTGTTAATATAAAATAAATGTCAATATTTTGCTATTTGCGAAATAATATGCCAGGAATATACAAAATCCTAGTCTAGTTATTCATGGTTAACTCACCGATATTAGATTTCTACACAAATCATCTTTGACCAGCTCTAGCAGTGCCTCATATTTTCCAATGTTGTCGGCAGCCACTTCAAAGGCAACGGTAAGCAGACTCAGACCAGTATGCATCATGCTGTCCGAGTTTTGTTTATCCAGCGGATTGCATAGTATGATAAGAAACCGGAACAGTTCCTGGATAAAGGGTAGCCCATACGGCGTGAGAGTTGCTGACAAATCGGCTGTATTCTGCGTAGACGATTGCTGGGTAAATCGCACGCCTACCGAATTAATATATTCGCTGCTGTTAGCATCGATTAATGCGGTAGTCGTGGCCAGTGTAGGCTCGTCTTCCCCATCAGTTGGCTCCTCAGGTCTTGTGGTGTCCACCTGAATTGTTGGCACATCTATTTGAGCATTGCTTACACTGCCAGGATCGCCAGCATGGTTAACAACTGTTGTTGTGGTGGGAGTTTGCGCGATCTTGCCCTGCATATCAAGAATATTGCCTACTGGAGAAGCAGGAGTCGTAGCAAGTATGGGCGCCTTTAAATGAGTGGGCACCACTAGCGTGCTCTGCGGCGTTTGAGGCGGCTCCTCGGTTGTAGATGACTTGCGTTGCACAGCTAAAGCGGACTGTGCCTTGGACTTTTGTTTCTCTGTGGATGCACCAGCGGCTTCGTAAATAGTAAAGCGCTTCTGAAGTACAGTGTCGCTGCAGTCCTCCGTAAACTGTGGTAGGCGCATGAAGAACAGCAACACCATGTCTTTCAGTGATTGCTCTGCGGAGCGGCGTAGCAGTTCGCTAAGGCGCGGCTCAAAGCAGATTTTAAAGCAGCTGAGCATCACCTCACACATTGACTCATTGCTAACGGCGACTCCCTCTGGACTACGGATCAGAGCATGTAACACTTCAATGAAACGCATAAATGTCACACTATCCGAAGACTGATCGGTGCCCATAAATCGGGCGTGCGTGACAGCATACGCAATCTTCTCTACAATCACAGCCAGATTTGGTGTTGTGGGATCTAAATTGCAGAAACATATTTAATTATTAAAAAGAATTAAAGTTTGTGTTAACGAAAATGTTCTTTGATATCAAAGACAACAAAGGATTGCCAAACACAGAAACATAGCTATGGTTGTATTTTTTTTATCATAAATAAAATATTGGATTATTATTGAAAAATTGTAATTAAAATATTTTTCATACCAATCAGGCCATATGACAAGAATTTGGTGACCGAGGCTAAAGCGAGACTCGTTAATGGTCCTGTAGTCTCAGCTGTGCGAATTACCTCCAAAAATGGAGCCAAAAACACGTTCGGTTCAATCAAACGTAAGTCCTCAATGCGATTCAGCACCTGCTTCAGATCGATGAACAGTTTCAGCAAGGCGTCCTTTTCATCATCCTGTAATATTATTAGGTTGCCAATGTTCTTTGTAAATATATACATATGTATATGTCAGGAACTTACCACGTAGGCTGTTGCATTCCAACGCGTACCACGTCTCATGGCTGTCATGAGTGTGGCCATTTCACCGCGCACCACATAAATACCGTTGCCTGGCAGTGACATTGTGTCCAGATTCAATAATTGCACCTTATTGGCTTCCACCTTTTAGAATTTGGCACGCAACGAACAAATTGTTGAAAACCCCGCTGCTGCAGTTCTTTTCTCACATATGTACATACATATGTTTTCCTGCCGCTTAGACACAGCAAAGCTCACATACACGCTCATACACACATACACGCGCCAAATGTGTACGTTTAATTAAACATTTTAATAATACGAAATTTGTCAATAATTTGTTTTCGACTACGTTTTTGGTGACGTTTACGACGTGTATGTTCTGCTTTAGTTTATACAGAAGCAACCCTGCCAGATTTGTTGATGCGAGGTCGATATATCGATATTTTTGGTATTTTCGATTTCAATTTTCGATACCAATTTTTAAAACAAGTGTCTTTAAACCGCTACTTCGACTTGGTACGGATGACAAATAAAAGTTCAACACAGTTTTATAATTCGTTATATTAATAAAGTTTCAGTAGGACAGTTACTTAAATTCTCAATTATTTTAGTATGCTTTACTCCCGTTGCTGGACATCGCCTTTGGTGCATCTTCAGATTACATTTCTGGGTGAATGCCTTCAAACAGTGTTCGCATTGGTGAGGACGTTCTCCTTTGTGTCCGCGGATGTGTGTCTGGAGTATGTGTTTTAATCCAAAAGCCTTTGGACATTGGGGACACTGATAAGGCCGTTCGCCCTTGTGTCTGCGAATATGCGCCGCAAGATAGGGATTTTGGGTAAATGATTTCGGACAATGCGGACATTTAAATGGTCGTTCGCCGGTATGCACGCGTATGTGCTCGGCCAGAAGATGCTTTAAAGAAAAGGCCTTTGAACAGTGTGGGCACTTAAACGGTTGACCTGTGTGAGTGCAGATGTGTCGCTTAAGATGGTGACTCTGCACAAAGTCCTTTGGACAGTGGGGGCACTTATATGGCCGTTTACCCATGTGTCCAAAGATGTGTCGCTTGAGATGTTGGTTTTGAGCAAAGGCCTTTGAGCAGTGGGGGCATTTATATGGACGATCGATACTACTTGACATGTCTTTGCCGCCATTCTCATCCATGTAACTGTGGGATATATAACCAGATAAAATAAAAACTCAATAGTTAGGTAATTTTGCACAATTCGTACTTCAGTTCCCCTTGCTGGGTGTCCTGGTTTCCTATGGTCTTACTTCTCAATTCACTCTCTATTTTGATGAGTCCTAAATCCATTTTGCGAATATCAAGACGATCATGTGTTCTTAAATTGACGTTGGTTTCTTTACCGTCATCTTCCGCCAACTTTAAGCAACGCGTTTCCATGCTCCTAAGTCTATCTTCAACGGTTGTGGCAAGTACCTCACCGGTATTGGATGTCTGTCTCCTTATTGTCGCCGAGCGTTCGTTCTGACCCATTTCAGAGCTAGTGTTCCGCCGCTCACTAAGAAGCTGGCAAAAGAAATGGTAAGTATGATTGCACAAGCGCCTAAATTTAAATGCTTGCTGGGCGTCTATAACGCAGCGCATGCAAATTTTCTTTGGTAGCTCATCGTCAAGTTTGACTTCGCAGTTGGTGCATTCGTAAAGCATGTCATCAAGTCTAGTGCTGCCTATCCCTATCTCGTCTTCCATTACTGCAACTTCAGGGCTCCAGTCAAATATATTTATTAATTTTACAGAAGGGCCACTTTCTCTGGCCATACAAACTCGGCACACGTCCATATCTTCCATCACAATGTGTATAAACAATTTTTGTGTTAGCGGAATTATAAACAGTGTTGATAATTGGTAAATTCAATAACAGTTTACAATGACTATCGATAGTATCGATAAATTTAATTACTGGCGTTATTTAAGACATATGTTAAGGTGGCGACGCTGTTATGTATAACCACTATAACAGAAGAATTTTAATTTACATTTTTCACGGCGACCACGCGGTTGTGTTTAGGAATTAAAATTAACTTTACAATATTTTTATACTGGACTGATTTGCTGTCCAATGCACGCTCGTTAGTTTAGTAGCCAAATCTTTCGGGTGCTATTTTTCATGGACAAAGAGTAATTTAACAATCTTACCAAAGTGCTGCGCTAATATCTGGTGCATCATTTTCTTTAAATTGTTAAACACACTTTCATGCTTAATCTGAACAATAATAAAGTTGAAATTTAGTTTAGGATACCAAGCCGGAATGATTTGCTGTCCAATGCACGCTCGTTAGATTAGTAACCAAATCTTTCGGGTGCTATTTTTCATGGACAAAGAGTAATTTAACAATCTTACCAAAGTGCTGCGCTAATATCTGGCGCATCATTTTCTTTAAATTGTTAAACACACATTCATGCTCAAGTTCAACAACAATTACATAGGTTACTAGTTATGCGTTCAACAGTAAATTGTCGCCGATAGATTACTAGGCGACAGTTATGCAAGGCAACGCTAGAATAAGCAGACGACATTTAATAATGCATTGGCCGACAAACTCCACGGCCTTTGCGTTTTGAGGTGTCGCCACATGTTTTAAAATAGGGTTATAGCTTGTATTTTTTATTTAGAGTAAGACTACAGACTATATTTATACTTTAGATTATGGTTTATTATTATGGTAGCTAGGGGCTTATTTTAATGTCTGCGATGCTCCAAGCAAACTCTTCAGATTTTCATCTTGGAACAGGGCTGTTTTTACGGCCAGAAGTAACTGGGAGTCAATAGTTTGGCTGTGCTGCTGCACCAGGGGCAGTCGACTAAGACGCTTGGCCAACTCGGCCAGCTTGGGCTGTTGCTGCAGAAACTGGTCCAGCACCTGGGGGGAAATGTTGGCCATTTGCGCTAGCTGCTGAACGTGCGGCGCCACGTGATCCGGTGATGGCATCTCTGCCTGTTTAGGTGTGTTTAGGTGCGGCGGCTTCATGTCGTGTGTGGATCGATTCGAATTCGTGGTGCTGTTGGTTAAAGTTGGCATTGACGTAGACTTCACGGGTTGCGACATCAATGCGGAACGTAATGGAACGGGAAAGTGATAAGGCAATGGCTGCCGTACGAGTACGGGACGCATAGCTGGTCCATGTCTCTGCTGAGTTGGCTGAACAGGTGGCATCAACACACGCTTGTACGGCAAAGGCCTGGGTGTTGTACTACTGCCCGGCCAGAAACTGTATTGTTTCACAAATTCATTAAATCTCTGCATTGAACTAGCCTCTTCCAATTCCGAATTTGACGACTTCATTTTTGTTGGTATATTTAGCTTGGAGGTCGCCTCATCGTAGTCAACATCTATATCTGCATTGTTGGTAAAATTGTCACTTTCGTCATCTTTCTCTCGAGGCGTGTTATCGTTAGCGGCTTGCTCATAGTCAAACGATTCCAAGTAGGTCTTCATCAGCTCTATTCCCTGATCATTAGACATCAGAAAGCGCACGTATTTTATGGTTTCATCGGCGTTGCCAGTGCCCAGCAGCTTACCAAGCTCACTGATGCTGGGCAGCTGGTCCATGCGCTTCAGCCCCAGCCTAGTCCGGGCAATATGGAGCACATCACTGGGATACTCGCTGATGACCATCGGCATTGTTGTTTTCGCTGTTGGGTTACCAGTGCTCGGATTGATAAGTTTATAGACGGGTATATTGTAATAAAGTGCATTTTGAAGCTTTGAATTCAGCCGGGGCTTGTCATTGTCTACAATTATTTCACTTGGTTGCCCGTAGAACTTTGCCCCAACGGACAAACGTCCGCTAATGCACTGCAGCAAGGCCAACTGCAAGACGAATTTCAGTAACCGGGCGAACATTCTGCTCGATTCGACGTGCGATGAACAACTAATAAAATATCACTGGTCCCGTATTCCCAAAAGCCTTGGAAAAACTATTTCCTTTTCTATTCGTGTATTGCCCTAGCTTCGTGGAATTTTCTTTATTGTGTTTCCACGAATGTTCGAGATGACGATTTTCTACCTGCTGTATCCTACAAATTCTCAGTTTCCTTTGAATTTTCGCCGAGACTCAATAGGTACCTGCTTTATTACCTAAATACGTTTACCTTTTTACAAATTTCATATATAGGGTTTTATTTACATTTATGTGATCAAAATACACGCAGCTTTCTTCGGTTTTGTTTTTCTTAACAATCTCACGTTGACATAATAAAAATAAATGCTATTCATGTATTATGTATTTCACAAGTAATTAGAATGGGTATTACCTAGCTAATTCAAACACATAACAATTTGAAAACAAACCAAATAGTTTAATAACTTTAAAGCTCTTAAATTACCAATGCAGCGACAACGTCTGTGGTAAAAATGTGTTGTACACTGAAGGGCCTAATAGCACTTAGAAACTAGGGAATCGCTGGCTAAAATTAATAGTGAATTCTAATTTTGCCAACTCTTAAGAAAATTCCCTGTACATAGGGGAACTTATATGTATTTACCAAGTAACGTACATGAATTTTGCACCTAAGACAAATTTGCAAATAATGTAAGGTATACTATGTAAATGGTGTGTTTTTCTGCAAGTACATAGGATTTCCGCTGGCAAAACAGCTATCAGCATTTCGACACGCCCACAAGAGCGGGGCGTATGCAACGTTCGTGCAGTTTGTAACCGAGTTTGGTAACCTCTACAACTGTATTGGCTTCGACTGTAGCGTCGTCCTTTTGAAACAATGCCTCGTGTAGATTTGGATCAAATTTCTGGTTGATGGGATCCAGAGGCTCCAAACCATGACGCTTGAACACCTGTAGAAGCGCGGCGCGTGTCATTGTTAGTCCCTCGTATAAGTTCTTCAGATCGGCATTGCCGTTTAGCTAAGTATTTGAACCAAAAGCATTGAGTTGGAAAGATGGGGCTATGGATATAAGCTAAATATAACATACTTTTTCCTTTGGTACTGCTTGAGTTGCATGCCCTAGTGTATCGGCTACTTCAAGTAGATCCTTGCAAAAGCTTTGTATGCCAAAGATTTTGGCATCGTTAATTTGTTTGTTTAGTCGTGTGCGCATATTCTCGCTATCAGCCAGCGCACGCTTGTATTTGTCTAGAAGTTCGCTGTTTTGTTCTTTTGCTGCCGCTAATTCTTGCGTCAGCCGCTCGACTTCCGGAGACAGCGTCTTTTTTTGTTCCGCTGCAGCGGTCTCATCACTCACTGCTTGCTGCTGCTTTTCCGTGCTATATCCGCGCAGCAATTGTGGTTGGGAGTAGCGAAGTAAGTTGCTGCGATTTGGTACAAAAAGAAAGCATGATGATAACGTGCGTCCAACTGAATATATGTAATTACGTCACAGAAAGAGACACATGCGGTACATATCAATGGGGCTTACCTCAAACGTTTTGTGCTTGCCACGGGCCGAATGTTGCTCAAGCGATTGGCTAGCATTGGCAATGTTAAAGACGCTTTTGTTGCCATTGATGTTTTCGTTTTCTTAAAAAACTATGCAACTTTTCACTGCTCTTAGAATAAAAACTTCACAGGAATAAATTTTGCCGGAGCGCTTGCTGATTAATCGAAAGCTGTTATCGATATACAAAATACCAAATTTCAATTGGTATGTTGTGCGCAGCATTGAGCTTTTTTTCAGTTTGACAGCGTTTATTCAAATTCGAGGCTAATGATCGTATCCAGGCAACTTTGACTAAATATAATGTTGAATTGTTGTTTAGTTAAAAAAAAAACAACTTACACTGAATTTCCACAAATATTGCTGCAAAGGTTTATGTTATCATCAAAAACCATATAATTAACGTGACTGGTCTTTACTTATGCGTAAAAGCAGTTTAGTTAAGGCAGTTATTGCCTTGAAGTCTTTCTAATTGTTTCACCTGCACTTGACACGCGTAAGCCGCCGGGTGAAAGCAATTAATCATACAAAAACATAAAAATATTAAACATGTAGATCTTGGGCGCAAACACGCCGAAAACTGTAGCAAATTGCTGAGGCCTGCATGTGTGCGTACACATATACGCTCATATATACATGCATACATACATACATATATGTGTACCAAAATGTATGCAGTGTCTGTTGTGAAAAATGCAAATTTTGTTCATACCCAGCAACCATAAATATAGGAAAAAGGGGCATTCTAATCTATTATTGTAAATATACATGCAAATATAACATTTTTGATTAGTATAAATAACCGAGTCGATCTGTCGCCAAGATGTCCAGGAATTCGCTTATAAAATTTTTATTTGGGATAGAACCATGTGCGTGGTATATTTAGGTAGGGTACTCTCGAATAGGGTAAGAATCGCCTTGTTTTGTAAAAGGCGTTGTACAATTGTTTGGAGTAGGAATCTTTAAAATTCAAAGTACGAAAATGTGTGCTTATTCAATAGAGTATCTTACAATATACATACATACATACATGCATACATGCATGACGCGAACAATGTATCCATGTCTGTGTATATTTACGTACGTATGTAAATACAAGTTGTATGCATGTATTGTATATATTTTAGAAGTTAAGGCATAGAATCCCATTTAGTTGAAATTGAACACTGTATCAGTGCAGTTGAAAAAACATTTGTAGTGTAAATAAAACAAATAGGTATCCTGTTTAAATGCGTGACGAGGATATACAATTAGCTTTGCAAATGGCTGCCAACTCAATATCTGTCGAGGAAGAACCTCTCGGCGCAGCAATAGCGTCACCTGAGAATTCTCCGAAGCCGCTGAGAAAAGCAGTCGTCTTTGATTTAAATGAGAGACGTAAACAATTTCGGTAAGCAAACAGAGAGCTACTTAAAAGGTACTATAAATAGTATAAGATGTACAAACTTATTTTTGACACATTGAATATTTAACGTCTAAGCATATGCACACATGCATATTTCGCTGTTATTGTTATCCAATTATTATTTTGGTTATTTAGTGCATTTTTTCTAACAATTTTTTCTACCAATTATAATTTTTAACGGCTTTTTTTTTTCGATTTCGCAACACTAATCGTTGCGTTGCTATAGCAACAACATTATTATTTCAAACCTAATTAACCAATTAAATATTTGAACTGGAATATACCAAAATCAAAACTGATTAATATAAATGGTAAAAAAATTTATTTAATAAAATTCCTAAACACATTTGGGAAACAAGCTTGCAGGCATGTGTATTTTATCAGTATTTTTCGGGTCCCAGTCTACAGTCACACTGATAGGCAAATTTATTGAAGAAGTGTTGTACGGCTAAAAAGGCTTAAAATGTCAACATTACCAAACACTCCCAAACATAACAAATCAACACCGCCTCAACATCATGCAAGCCAAGAAACCAAGGATAGCAATAGGGTCGATGGCAGCGAGTCGTCCAGTCGAGTCAGGGGCAGCAACTGGTGGTGGTAAGCTTTATCATCTGGCTATACGCGCGCAATTTGCAGTTAATATTTTATTGAAAACTCCAAGCTAACTGACACCCGGTTCGCTCATGGTATTTGTTTACCGTTCACACTGTTGCCGGTGTTTGCGCTCTGAAAGCATTTTAAGTTGCTTTGCATTACGGAATTCACATTCCCATTTCCATGGATCGTTTCACTGTTGTTGTCTGTGGTCATAATGGTCAATTTGACGGCTCAAGCTGCAGCTGCGTTAATCATTAAAAGAAAAATCAGAAATATTTTATAAACTTGAATTGATTAGGTTTTTATTGCGAAAGTTTTGTCGACTCGTGCTGTAGGCTTTGGGCTTAAATCAAACGAAAATATAAGCACCTTAAATAACTAATGAATCCTGCAAGAGATGCGATCTATGATAGCAATAAACACAACAGTGGAGGCAGCCATGCCACAGAGGTGCAGCTTAAGAGGATTCAAAATATTCTTATTTGATTTTAATTAATGACTAATTCTTTCTAGGCGTACACGCAGCTTAAACGCGCCGTCACCCTTTCAGCAGTTTGGACCATGTGGACGTATCATGAAAAACTCAGCAGTGGTAATGCAAATCCAGGATCCCGCCAGTCAACGGCTGACCTGGTACAAGCCACCACTAACTGTTCTCGTCATTAAGAAAGTAAGCGATGCTTCTGTGTTGACGCCGTTTGTGCAGCTGGTCCTTTGGCTGCTGCAGGAGAAGAATATGGTCGTCTGGGTGGAGTCTGCAGTACTAGACGATGCTCTACTCAACGAGGACGTTCAATTTCGAGCCATTCGCGACAAGCTGGTGACGTTTAAGTAAGAGTTTAGTTTTATTATCTTTTCTAATTAATATTTACATATACTCACAATGTTTTGTGCCAACACTAATAACCATTTTACTTCTTCTACCTCAGAGATGGACGGGATGATCTGACCGATAGAATTGATTTTATTGTCTGCCTTGGTGGTGATGGTACTCTGTTATATGCCTCTCTACTGTTTCAGCAATCGGTGCCGCCAGTTATGGCCTTCCATTTAGGATCTTTGGGCTTTTTGACACCTTTTCGTTTTGATAATTTTCAAGAACAACTTACCAGCGTTCTTGAGGGTCATGCGGCGCTTACATTGCGCAGTCGCCTGCGCTGTGTGATGCATCGAAGAAGCGAAAAACGACACGAGGTCAACCATGCTGTGGATGCGAATGCACCCATGTTCCCCTTGGCTGATACAATATTAGTACTGAACGAGGTGGTCATCGATCGGGGCCCATCGCCCTATTTAAGCAATATTGATCTGTTTTTGGATGGCAAGTACATTACATCAGTACAGGGCGATGGCTTAATTGTGTCCTCGCCCACGGGCAGCACAGCGTATGCGGTAGCTGCTGGTGCTTCCATGATACATCCTTCTGTGCCGGCTATTATGGTGACGCCGATTTGCCCGCATTCACTAAGTTTCCGACCAATTGTGGTGCCCGCAGGTGTTGAATTGAAAGCAAGTACTCTTAAAACCTATTGCCAAACATAACTTAATGCATGTGCTCCATAGATTTCCGTTTCACCTGAGAGTCGCAACACTTCCTGGGTAAGCTTCGATGGCCGAAATCGTCAGGAGCTCTTTCACGGTGATAGTCTGCGCGTGACAACCTCAATTTATCCAGTGCCCAGCATTTGCGCCCAAGATCAAATATCTGACTGGTTTGCCTCGCTGGCCGATGGTCTGCACTGGAATGTACGCAAGCGTCAGAAGTGTCTTGATGAACTTTCCGACTTAACGGCATCCGGATCGGAAGACACGTTCGATGAGATTGAAAATACAAAAATGTATGATGTATAGTTCGTAAGTTTAAGAATTCTCCATTGGGGATATATGTATAAGTGTGCCACGTTGAAAGCTCTCGCCGTAGTCAAACTATGCAATCGCTGCATGTATGTGTGTCGTGTAATAGTTTAACATATTGTAATTTTTTTTTGATAGTCTTAGTTGTGTAACTCGAATATTTTATTACCAATGTTGCATAGGCAATTAAAAAATAGTTTTTCTCTACCAGCTGTTGGTGTTAATACGCTAAGGCTCAGCCTCCGGCAACAAACTTAAGTAGGTCAGGTGGCCACAGAGGTTTTAGTTGAAATATATTTGTATATAAGTACTTATTACTTGTATGCATGGCCACTTGTTGGTTACATGTTGCTCACCTCGGTTTAAACTGTTTTGCACTGCCTTACCCAAGTTATTCGCAGTTCCGATAATACTCATTTAGGCTTATCGAACGTCGTTGGAAGGCTATTTGCTTAGCAAACGAAACTGAAAGTAACGCCGTTATTGCCGTTTCCAGTTTAGAAAATGTGCCCTCAGGCCGTACATGAGATGTGCGACGTGTTACATGCTTTAATTTTATTTTATTTTTTTTGCCATTGTTTCATGTTGTATGTTTATTGCTTTTGCCTTTTTTGTTAACAAATTCAAGGTGTGCGAATGAATATCAAAATGCGTATTCGTGTGATTCTGTGCTTGTGTCCGTAAGCATCGTGACAGGTGTGCGTGCTTATCTAGTTATGAAATGCATAAAATCTTGGATTATAGGTGTATGCAATAGTAGACTTCGAACGGTGCCAGAGTACGGTTGCGTGTTTGTGCGTGAATGTATAAGTTAATTGTATTTATCGTTAATTAAAGTAAAGTTTAGCAATGAATGTACGAGACATGGAGCGAGCGAGACAAATTCTTAAAGATGAAGCAGCAACGTCACCTCGCAGGACCACAGAAACAATGAAAAATACACTAGTGGGTAGTTTGCTCGACAAGCGAAATCAGTTTCGGTAAGCAACAAATATAAGTTTATTCAAAAAATAACTGAAATGAGTGTTGTAGCAGTCCAGTTATTGCGCGCAGGCTGCATTCAATTTATAACATGAACTATCGATATATCAAATAGCCCCTGAAAGCGCCTTTCAAAATGTTGAAAGGGGATACTAATAATCGAACCTTAGCATATCGAATATGTCCGTCTTATTAGTTGAAGTAATATTAGTAAAAGCTATAGTTGTCGATCTAAAAACAGCAATTGTGAATAATCGCTTTTATGTTAAAAAAACAAGGGATACTTGTCAATATGTTAAATAGTTATTTACAACAGCTTAAGAGCATCAATTTATTTCGCTGCTCTTCAATAGCTGACGACTTAATAACCGATTGTTTTTACCAATACGCTGATTGCTCGGACTTTTCTTAGTCTTGTTATACAAAGAAAGATAACAGCTTTTTCTGTTACAACCAGTGCAGCGAATGTTATGCCTTAATCGGAATTAGTTGGTTCATTCGTGAGCCAGTTAATCGAACTTATTCGAAATGATTCGATTAACTCGAGCATATACAATGGACTTCAGTTTATAAATAAATAACTGAAACTGCACCAATGAAACTTTGCTAATTACTACTGCTGCATTAATGCGAATATTCGCAAATAAGATTCGGCCACAAGCTTCATCCAGCTACGCGGGCAGGTGCAAACGCTTGTACGACAACAGCAAAAAAAGTTCACAGCATGGTTGATAAATTGAACGTTCGCAAATACATTAAAGTTGCAGAAAATATAGTGCCGTGCTAAAAACGCACTTAAATAATAATATATCGTATGCGCGCTTGATCGCCCAAAAGAAAAGTTTGGCCCGCAACCATTTGTGATTGTTAACCATGTCGTCCTATAACATCCAATGCCCAAGTCCAACGTCTAAGGCGACACCTGCACAGTCTGTGCCAGGTGCGAATGAAGAAGCAAAACCAAGGGTCTACTCCCAGTGCAGCATCTATGATGAACATGAAAATCAGCTGCTGAATGTAAACACCACACGCCAAAATCATGTCAACAATGGATCCGCATCATCTGCACCAGGGCCTGGCCTGATGTCCAATGGCACTGCAAGCGATATAGAAATGCGTTGGTGGTGGTAAGTAACAAAGTGCAGTATGTTCTCCATGTCATGTTATGTGCAAAGACACTGTTAAAGAAGCCAATTAATTAGTACCAGCACTTCTTGGTAAACACACGTTTTGGAGAAGCACCATTCAAGAAATAGCCAACCATATAGCTTGACTGAGGAAGATTATGAGAATTGAACATGACTAATAATTAGGCAAGACTCGCTGCCAATTACACCGTTGTTTACATAACATGCTTACCGTTTTTTTTTTTTACATGCCACCAGATTCCAACACCTGTTCGCTTGCTCAGTCTCTTTCTCTCTCTCGCTCTCTCTCTCTCTCTCTCTCGGTCTCCGTGATGCGTGCTCACAGTGCTCAGCTGTTGTTTACAACCTGATCGCTCGCTGGGCAGCGCTGTGCGACGCTTGGAAACGGCCGTAAACTTTTATATTGAAATCGCACAAAGATTTACAATTTAATCATCTTTTTGGTGTTTCAGTTCAGTTCAGTTATCGCTCGTTCACTGGACAGCTCGGTCGTGTTTGGTGAGGTCGGTGCGCGGCGTGCTCTCTATTTCTCTCTCTTTGCCTCTCTATCTCTCTAACTCTCTTTGAACCCTTACCAATGTTGTTGTATTTCTGTGCCGCGTATTCACTCTCTCATACTCTCTGTCGGTCGTTGGCTTTGCTTGAAGCTCGGGCTTAAAGTTTCGTGTGCTTAATACGCCATCTTATATAACATGTAATTAGATGACTTTTTTGTTAAATTGCTTTTCCAGCTTAACGTGACCTGGCATTTCCCATTGACCGCTTACACGCTTAAATGTGCCAGCCTTGCTAATCGTTAGCATGTAAGAATCGGCGAGGCCTCGATCTAGCTTATGATAACCACTTGAGTCTTGGGCTCGTCTAGTCTATTTGTTGACATTGCCTTTTGCTAACAATTGATTACTTGTTTTGTTTTCGAAACGTTTCTTTGTTAAGTAAATCGTTACAAAAATCCGTTCGTCTATTGTGACAATGGGGTGTTTTCTTTGTTCACAAGCTCGCACAAGTATATATGTACATGTATTTATTATAATTGTAATTTATCATTTTATTTGACAAACGTCTGTTAATTACTTCCTGATACTTTAATGGGACTGAACTCTTAAAACTTTCACCAAAGAAACGCCGCAGGCATGATAAAACGACTTTTTTCTACTCATTTGGTTATTTTCTAAATGTTAACCAACCTTCACAGTTGACCAAGTTATAACAATATATATCAAAGACGTGTGGATACAATATTTACGTAGTTGTTGTATTATACGGATCTCAAATAATTACACATAACGACATGTCTGTTCGTCCTTTGACACAGCCATTAAGGCTGCTGACTAATGAGGCAGTTCTCTGGCCTGCTCCTTTTTTCCCTTCTGCTCAGTTTGCGTGCTTATTGGAATTTCTATGGAAATGCAAATGCAAAGGCAATTAGTTGACGTCACAGCCGGAACTAGGAGCTGGTCGGAGATGGGTACGTAAGCAAAAACAACAACAAACTTGGCGTCAACGATTGTTGTTATTTTGTTCTATAAACCTGTTGCCAAGTAGCAAGATATAACGAATGTTTATATATGATATACCTTCGTTTAATAAACATTCGAACTTTTATAATTCATATTTCTTGACATTTCCTCGCCAATTTGAATATTCGGCACGCTGTCTGACTGACTCAACATAAAATGCGTGGTTTTTATGGCTTGAGTTAACGAAGTTTTAACACCTTTCGAAGAAGGGGGCAAGGTTAAGACTGCTCAAATTTGTTAAGCGAAAAGCCAGCGCTCAGGGTCGTCTCAAGTCGCTGGGCTAGGAGTTTACAATGCCAAGTCAATGTTAAGCTTACTTAATTAACCATTCTAGCTGAATTAGATGTTACAATGTGCTAAAAATCGAAACAATTCGTATTAAAATCTGTGGGCATTGATTTGTAACTTTCATCGCTTGCGAAGTTAACCAATTGCCACTGATCCATGGCCTGTCGTTCGGATATTGATTTGGCCACTCTGCACCAGAATCGCCTGGAAGAGCGTTGGCACTATGGACTCGCTTGGTGCGGTGCCCATGGGAGCAGTCAGCAGCAACAGTTGACCCACTACAACGAACTGCTGATCCGCCAGAGCGGCAACCAGCATCGTCAGCGCGTGTCCAAAAGCGGCAGCTATTACAAGGTATACGATGCCAATAATACAAGTGCGGCAGCCAGCAGGGTTAAGGAAAACGCAGCCAAAGACCATCAAAATAAAACTCTGGACAGATTGGATGATGATAGCAGCTATTTTACGAGCACCACGCGTCGCCGACGCTCCGGCACTTGGCCGTAAGTAACGACAAGTAATCTCAAAAGAAAAAGAAAAATACAAATTAGGCTCAAACAAAATAAGACTCTTCAGAATTCGCGTAAATAATGTGAAAACCAAAAACTTCGAGAGGCTATCAGTAAATTGTCAGTCTTGAAGAGCAAGAGGAAGAAATTTTCAAGCATTCATTGCTAGATTAAAAGTTCATAGTAATTTATAGGCTTCTCTTTTGAAGGCAATTTCGAAAGTCAAGTATAACAAACTAAAGCAAAGTGCATCGAATACAAATACCCTGCAAGAAAATAGACACAAGCTCACAACAGAAGTATCAGCATGACGGACCTGATTTTGTTATCAGCTGTTTACTTAAACCGTTTTGATGGGTTTGTTTTTAATATGTATAAGTATATACATATATAGTTAGGAACTCTTATTTGTGGTTTCGATCAATGCTTTTCAAGGGCAAGCATTTCGGTGACTGTGCCAGAAAGTATATAAATCAATATGAATTTCAAACAGAAACTGAATATGTGCATTTAAATGCGGGTTTCGTTTCAACTTAAAACCAAATCAGCGCTGGAATTGAAGAAAATTTCAATGCAGGCCTATGAAATATTTTTTGGCTACAATCTAATTAGATTTTTAGTTAACAGTCTAGATCCTAACAAACGCGAAGTCCCTGACCCTTCTGCACAGTTGTATATATATTTTTATGAATATTTATCACCTCACCTTTTTTTTTTTTGTTTTTGCGGCATTTGAAAACGTGTTTGCTAACACCTCGAAAAGCCAGACCCAGACATATGCTATGATGGCGCCGCGTGTCAATTAAAGCCGATTAATATTAAGCACCCAAACCACTTTTTGATCTGTATGCGGGCATAAGTTTTTTGTTTTGGCCACTAGCCACCAGCCACCAGCCACCAGCTACTATATTTATTAACGATTTGTTTAGAAAAACTCTAGGCATTGAATAGTCGTCCGATACCAATTAATTCATATGGTGCCAGCTTGTGCGAGGCGCAATTCATAAATAAAACACAGCCATGTCGCATATCGACAACTCAAATAAAGCCGATGGCGGGCTCCAAAGGTGCAGCGGGTCAAAAGACTTAACCTTCGATTTGCATGTGTGTCCGAACATTCACAGTTTGCTTAGCGAACCACAGAGGACAGCCCTTAATTAATACTCTAGTGAAATTGCTAGATAGATTTTTAAAAGTCAATCAGGTGCGGCTTATAGCCAGTCATGGTGCTCCGCACTGTGGTGCCGCACCTAAAATGCATTTTTACACAAATACAAAAAAAAAATAAAAATAATAATAATAATAACTAAACAAATAAAAAGTGGATACAGGTTTTGAAAAATGTGCACAAAAATAAATGCCGTTTTTCTTCTCATGATATTTACAATAACTTTATCAACGCAAACAATCAAAACGTCACACTGTGCATCGGCTCTATCAGTTTAAGGCCTGCCTTCCTACTTTTCAATTATTTCAATTAGTCTGATATTGTTTATTGGTACGCGTAGAGCTTTAATGGCCGTGGTCTGACGCGGAACTTTATAAATGTGTATGTATTGGTTGGGTACGAGAAATAGAAAGTTCAGAATGGGCGACGAATTTAAGGCAATAAACCGCAAAACAACACAGAAACAGCTACTGCCTCTATTATTGTTATAGGGAGGAAGCTGTGGAGCCGTACACAAATCTTCCATTGTGCCGTTTTGTCAGTTTGTTGACAAATGCAGGGATCATCCACAAACAATTAGCCAAGTGCCAGTGCTCTCTTACTCTCTCTCGCCTTCTCTCACTCTTACTCGCTCTCTCTCTCTCTCTCTATCTCTCTCAGTCTGTGCTCTTGGCAACGAGCGTGCAGTTCCCGTTTGTTGCGATTCAAGACTAAACGAGTTTCTCGACTGTCTGGCATCACTTCTGTAATGAAATCACAAAACCTTTACTCCCAAAAAATGTTTTGGTCAGTCAGTGATTTTGTAACCTTCGAACGATTCGCACAAAACTGCGAGTAATCACGAAATTTTCATCAAGTTTTTGTATTTTATTTAGAAGTTGACAGAAAACAAATCGTTTTATAGCTATTAGGTGGCAAAAAAGATTGCATAAATAAACGCATTGCATAATTAAATATCTTAGTCGTTGTTAACCATGCAGAATAAGAAATTGGGACTTGCGTCGTTGCGCTTTGGCCTAGTTTCTGAGCATATAAATCAAGTTCAGGGTCAAAACCTTGAGTCTTCAGAAGCCAGCACAGAGCCTGTGTCGTCGAAAACCGAGGCGCGTACTTTGAGGTTAACCTTAATTCGTTTTAAATTGTGCACATTTCTTACATATCTGTTGCAGGCGAACTCGCAGCCTGAACGCACCTTCGCCATTCCAGCAGTTTGGACCATGCGGTCGCATTATGAAGAACTCCGCTATGGTAATGCAAATACAAGATCCCGCCAGTCAGCGGCTGACCTGGTACAAGCCACCACTCACTGTCCTCGTGATTAAGAAGAAAGACTCCCAAGTGCTGCTGCCGTTCGTGCAGCTAGTCGAATGGCTGGTGCAGGAGAAAAATATGGTGGTCTGGGTAGAGTCTGCTGTGCTGGAGGACAAGTTGCTGCGCGACGATGTCAAACTGGACCAAGAGAGTGCTAAATTTCGACAGGTTCATGAGTATTACAGTGGAGTGCGTTCACGTTTTCTGGCACTGCGAGAAAAATTGGTAACCTTTAAGTAAGTACAAGTAATTAAACAAGTAACGAAGCTCTAGTCGAGAGCTACCGACTAGGGGATACACTGAACCCTCTTATCTCCGACTCTACTCAACAGCCAATACTTGAATTTCAATGAGAAAAATCGAATTAAAATAGCAGCATAGAAAACAATACAATCGCAATTGCAATGCTGTTGAAAGAACTCAATGAACAAACTCATATATGTGTGTGCGTGTACATGTATTCAGAAATTATTTCAATTTGCGCTAGCTGCCGCAAAACCGCAAAGCACAGTTTCTTTACCGATCTTGATGAAATTTTCAACAGTTGATCTTATTGTACTCTTAAATATTTGTGTAGTCCCAAAGAGTCAATTGATTTTAAATTGTGGGATAAATTGGTGCGCAATATAAATTGGTTTATTTACTTGATTTATAGCTATAAAATGAAAGATACTTGATATATGTATATATATACTATTCTAGATTGTCAAGTTTGGTGGGTCTAGCTCCTATTGTTCAGTAAATTTCTGATATCCTTTCATTCGTACATACGGGCGGGAGGACAAACAGACGGACATGGCTGGATCAACTCGGCTATTGATGCTGATCAAGAATATATATACTTGATGTGTGGTCGGAGATGCTTCCTTCTGCGTGTCTGTGACATACATTTTCACAAGTACAATATAACCCTTTTACCAATGTTGAATGGGTTCAGGGTATCAAAATAGTTGTAGCAGAAGTGATATCTTCATTTGATAACTATGATAACGATCATGTTTCTTTTATTTTTATTTTGCGACTAACAGAGATGGGCGCGACGATCTCACCGATCGAATTGATTTTATCGTCTGCCTTGGAGGCGATGGAACGCTCCTGTATGCTTCACAGCTGTTTCAACAATCGGTGCCACCAGTTATGGCATTCTATCTCGGCTCGCTGGGTTTTCTGACTCCCTTTCAGTGTGATAACTTTCAGGATCAAGTGACCAATGTGCTGGAAGGTCATGCTGCGCTTACGTTACGCAGTCGACTGCGTTGTTCAATTCATCGCAAGGGCGAACGGCACAGGGATTCTCTGCAGCAAGTAAGCAATAATCTGCTGAAGCCTAGTCTGCGACTGCACAATTACAGTGCAGTGGGTGACCCGACATTCAGCAACAACAACTGCAGTTCATATTCAGGACAGTCGTCTGCCAACAACAGTATTCTTGTATTGAACGAGGTGGTCATTAATCGGGGACCGTCGCCTTATTTGAGCAACATTGATATATTCTTAGATGGAAAATACATTACATCCGTGCAGGGCGATGGATTGATTGTGTCAACGCCAACGGGCAGTACAGCTTATGCGGCAGCCGCTGGCGCCTCTATGATACATCCATCTGTGCCAGCCATATTGGTGACACCCATTTGTCCCCATTCACTAAGTTTTAGGCCAATTGTTGTGCCAGCTGGTGTTGAACTGAAGGTGAATTGATATTTTATTGAATATGCTTTAGTTGAGCCTAAATTGTTGTTTGCCCTAGATATCAATATCTCCGGACAGCAGGAACACATCTCGCGTATCTTTTGATGGACGAAATGATCAGGAGTTGAATCATGGTGATAGCCTGCGAGTGACAACTTCTATATACCCGGTCCCAAGCATTTGCGCACAGGATCAAATATCCGATTGGTTCGACTCACTGGCGGAGGGTCTGCATTGGAATGTGCGTAAACGTCAAAAGTGTCTTGACGAACTTTCGGATTTGACAGCGTCCGGTTCGGAGGACACGCTCGATGAGTTTGACAATCTTAAAATCCAAGATTCGTAGTGCTCCAACCGCAATCCAGCTGTTTGCAATTCTTTAAGTGCCCAAATGTAGTGGTTTAGTATATAGAGTTTGATCGTGTACAATTTGTAAACATTTAAAGTTTCTAGCTAGAAAAATACTCCGTTCTATTGTACAAAATATATTTGGTTGAGTTTAACGTTATTTTTTTCTATTTTAAACTAGGCAAATTATTATTTCTTGAGAACAAATCAGTTTAAGTGTAGGTCTTAAGATCAAATTCACGCAAAGTGCTGCGAAAATGTTAAAACTGTGTGTGTATATTTTGTACTAGTAATAAATTATTTTATTTACTAAAACCAAATTCACCTAACTTTCATCTCTAATTGAAGAATGTTATATTGAAATTTATAATCTCATTAAGTTAGCACATACTAAATCCCTCGCTCTAAAACTCGTGGAGTGTATCTATGTCCATTAATTGGTGTAAAATTTAGAAATAAAGATACAATCAAGCAAATTAAGCCTTTCCAACTAGACACAACAACAACGTAAAGCACTTAAACTTACAGAACCCTCAAAGTAAATGCATTGGGACATTGCGTAACTGGAAGATTAATTACTTTCGTACATACATATGTAGAAAATCACATTAAGTTGCAAAAGCTGCGAACTTCTCAAGAGTAAACCTATAATAAAAATGTTTAAAACGAATATCTGAAAAATGATTCACTTACAATTCCTTCACTTAAAGAGCCTGCAAAGTACCCAAAGAATTTAATACAGCTGGATAGATAAAAATAATAAAAGGGCAATCGAAGCCATAAATGTTAGCGCAATCATTTCATGGCTTGTGCGGATGTGAGTGAGCATTGAGTTATTTTCTCTCCTTTATAACGCTTAATAATAGACGCCAACCGCAGACCCTACTATGTCAGCTGCATTTCCGAGTCCGAGCAACAAGTTGGTCGAACGACCGCAGCGACGCGCAGCATCCTTCCGTTTCAGCATCGCATATCTGACTGGCTAGGATAGGAATATTGCGTGTTATCCGGCATTTACGATTGGCGGAGCTAGCTTCAATGACACGCCCACGTATTTTCATTGCGCAGGCCTCAAACTGAACATGCGTCATGGGCTGGACAGCTAATTTTATTATGCGTATTTTAATGTAAGGCTTTCTTCTCCAATATATAGTATTTCGTAATGGTTACATAAATTATAAATATGTGTGACCGTGGCAGGCGACATCTGCCTGTTAAACGCACGGATTGGAGATCGACGCTCAGCCAAAGCCGTAAATGATACAAAGCTGCAATTTTTACAATGTGACCTTTGACCGTCCTGCTATGATGAAGAAACTCTAGAGAGAAACAGATCCCGCTAAGAACATTTCGAAGGATGGAAAATAATACCCTTATTATTACCAATTTATATACACATGGCGGTTAATTTGAATATACGAATATTTTGACCTCCACGTCTAAAGCTCTTTTTTACATAGATAAATTCAAAATAAGTTTTAATTCCGTCGGATTAAGAACTCAACTATTTCCGCCCATGTTGGACTTTTGGTGCCTTCAAGCCGTAACCTTTGACCCTCCTTTATCATTCAAGAGTAGTGGATTTTGCGAAAAGTGTGAAATACCATCAGATGAATTTTCGACAAGATCTTTAAAAATGATTTTAAAGCGGATCAGATGATAAATAAATTAAATTAAAAATTAAAATTCTGAAATTTAAATAAATTTATGGAAATTTATGTAGGGCTTATAAAAATCTTTGGAACAAGGAAGTTTGAATTCTGCGAAATGTGTGAAGCACCACTCAAATGCATTTTTATAAAGATCTGTGGAAAGGAATTTAAGCCCGTAATATAACTCCCCAAGCCTTTGAACCGCATTTAAACCAAGGAGAAATGGATTTTCTTAAAAGTGTTAAAGACCCCTGAAATTGATTTGAACAAAGATCTGTGAAAATGAGTTGAAGGCTGATTGGATGGAAAAGAGAAAGTTTCACACGATTTGTCCATACGTGAGGGTGATATTTTTGAAAATCCCTTCTTCCATGGGACAAATATAGGGAACGTTTCAGCTCTTAGCCCTTGCGTGATGTACACTTTTTATTATCAGTTTTAGTATTAAATAATATTATTGTTTAGTGTAGAATTAAAACGTATATATATTCTTGCCTTTTAAATATTTTTATCAAAAATTCGTTGGTAAATATGATTATTAACTTAAAAATAGGCTGCCATAGTACTGAGTACAGAGAGAACTATCACAAAGGACTGCGATGATACATATATTATTTTGTATTATATTATATTTATATATTATTAATGTACACATGCCATACCGGACGTGAGAATTATTTTGAATGCGCCACCGCAAGATATTTTAATACTCTGGTAGAAGAGAATAATCCGAAATATGCTTGGAATTTCTTAATGAAATTTGTCGCCTCAGCTTAAGACAAATGGTAAAGTGAAAATGATGAAGGGCAATTCGAAATAGCGAACTTAACTTGGCATAGTATTCGAAGCTGCCAAGGCACGTGCTGATATTTCAATTGAATGCCGCAAAATATGCGGCGGCAGGCAGCCCTGCCGTAAGGCCAAAGGCATCTGTGGAACAATCTCGAGCTGAATGAAAAGTATTTTCCGCCACTGCATACGCACAGGCGCATCACTTGACATTTGAACTTAGGCTGGGGCCTTTTTAAAGCATGCACAGACCCGATAGTATTCCAAGTGCTGATGACAGTTGAAGTCTCTGCTCTTTATGGGCTGATGACTGGAGGGCTATCTCGGCTGGAGTTGCTTTGAGTTGCGAAAAGTTCGCCCCGACGTTGAATGAAAGGAAATTAAACATTTTCACTCGAGCTGCTTTTGTTTTCGAATCCCTCAGATAACAGTTGACCAGCACAAACAGATTACCAAAGTTATTCCTGCTCGTATGTGAAGAGCCCGCAGTTGTTGCCCAAAAAGCAGTCGCATCCATTTGGCAGCGGATCAATCTCGCCCGCAAATTGCTTCCATATTTGTCATATTTCTGTACCTCCATTCGTGGGGAAATTAAGCTCTCGGTCCAACGATAATGGGGCAAAATAAAAGACACGTTTTGACCTTAAATTTAGCTTGGTATTTTGATACGCCTTCAAGTATAGTCCTGCTTTTACCAAAGCCCAAATCTATATTCCCGCCTCCCACACAAATGCGTACGTGTATTGGGCTGGAACGTATTATTCGATGCCATCCCTCATGTCTGATTTCTAGTCCATTAACTTTGAAGTTATTTGGCGATGCTACTTTAACACTTCAACAGACTTTGGACATTTCGATTTCAATTTTGGTTGATTCTATGAGTATTTGTGCCCTTTTATTTGGGTTCTGTTTTTCTTAAGTGTTTTGAGTGCTCTTTGCACATCAGGCTAGAAATTTCAACCCCATTCTATGCAATGAGAGACTTAAAACTAAAATGTGCCCGTAATACTCAAACATCCAAGTATTACATGACAGCCCCACAGTCTTAATTAGACGGCGATAATCCACACAAAGGCACTTTGTCTCTTTCCTGTCCGTCTAATTGCATAAATTTGCAATTTGCAATTTAGCGGCTGATCAATTATACAGTTTGCGTTTGGTAATCTGACCTAATTTCAAGACATTGAAAACTGTTGAATTGTATGGGATAGTCTATCATATGGCTTGATTTAACTATCCTTACCTTTACGGGTAAGGAACACGGGCACTAATTGACTAAATCACGGCAACAACACGTTCGTCCGTAGACCGTTTTTTCCGCACAACGCATGACACCTGTTAAACTCTGTTAAGCTCTGTTAAACTCTGTTAAACTCTGTTAAAAAGGGCATAGGCTTGATGAAAATCATTCAAAAAATAAGAATAAGTATTAATGTATTTCATTATATACATATGTATGTATGTATGCTTCGATTTTGTTTAATATAACATAAAATCGACTTGAGGCCAAAGTAAAAGAGAGAAGTATCAATAAGGCTTAATATGCTGATCCCAGTTCTTTTTGGTGCTCACTGTCTCATACATACATACATGCTTATACATATATATGTACAGAATGCATACTTACAGGCGCATAACGGAATTGACAGTGAAAATAGAATCATACAGCAAACCCACGCACACACACACACTTATACAGATTTCTCTGCCTCCCGGTCACACACACACACACACACACTCGCACAATGAAGGCAATTGAGCAGAATCATTGCCGCTGGCAGGTTTCTTCAGAATGATTTAAGAGGAAGGCGGGAACTTCAACAGGCGACAACAACAACGAAAAAAAGAACGACGACGTCAACGTCGACGTCGGCGTCAGCGTCGGCGTCGCTGTTGCCGAATCGCATACAACAAGTGGCAGCGAATACGACGCAGCTTCTGCTGCTGCCCTTTCACATCGCATTCCAAATCCTGACGCAGTCAAAGGCGCTTTGTGCGCGCCTCGTGCGCCGTACACAGCTTTTTTTCAGTGCGAGATGAAATCTCGTGGCTGATGGACGTGTTCGTGTCCACGTTTCCAGTGCTCCAACCGCCAGACACTTGTAGCACTTTAGTATTTATAACACAGTGCTCAGAAACACTCTGCTCCACTCAGTATTTTCTGTTCAATGCATTAAGAAAATGTAGTTCACAATCAGTATATAAAATATAATAAATCCATTAAATTGTGCTTATTGAAGTTTAAAAAAAAAATACCAAAACAAAAAACCCTAAGTCTAAACTGAAAATATGTAATTTTTCAGAGAAACGAATGTAAGTCTAAAATTTAATTAGTAATTTTTTTTTGGAATAAATACAATCCATTTTCGTTTTGACTTCAATTTATTTCAATTTCAATTTAAATTGTGCAGCTTTTAAATGTGTATTCATAGATGTGTGCCACACAATATAATCAATATGAGCCGAAAATATTGTTCTAGTCAATGTAATTTCGTGCACAATGAATTTGTTTGCATTGCTTTAGCTCGACTGGGTCGGGTCTTTGGGGCTTAGCTTTTATACAAAACATATTTTTCTCAAATATCAATTTATTTGCATTGGGGAAGTTAAAGAGAAACTTTTCACAGTGAATTATTTGTGGCATTCGAGTCGTTGACCTCGCCACGATTATATCGAAATATCAAAATACTTCCATCAAGCTGAAGTCTAATTGCTTATTCCCTCATTTACTTGCAGGAATACCTAAAATCTTCAACCCCAAATGCAGCAGAAACCACAAATTGATATTGCATCCACAGCTAGGATATTCAATCGCAAATAATAAATTATTTGACAGGTAACTTCCATTTCTTTTCGCCATTTCAGAAACTAAAAGTCTTTGTGAGAAAATTTTTGTATATAGAGTGAAGACTCCTTCGTTGCAATAATTCTTTATAAACAAACTGAAAGTAATATAATAAAGAGCTTGCCCTAGTTATGCCTTATAATTAGCTAATTTCCAGATAGAATAATTGCCGAAACACAGCAGCCAAGTA